CCGAATGGTCCCCAATCCGCCACTCCCCTGTTACACCCTCGTCAACATGTCGTCACCCTCTAGAGACGACGAAGAAAAGCAATCGCCGCCAGTGGGACTCGAAGAGCTGACCCAGACCCACGGCGCGCCGCCGGTCTGCAGCTCGAAGCCACTCGGCCACTCACATCTCTACAAAGAGAGGGAAGAAGCGCTGGAACACACCTGACGCTCGCACGCTGCAAAAGTCGACACTATCTCGTCACTATGTGGTCACCCGGCGGGCATCAGGGTGTGCTCCGGCGCTTCTTTCCTCTCTCTGTAGGGATGTGAGTGGCCGAGTGGCTTCGAGCTGCAGACCGGCGGCGCGCCGTGGGTCTGGGTCAGCTGTTCGAGTCCCACTGGCGGCGATTGCTTTTCTTCGTCGTCTCTCGAGGGTGACGACATGTTGACGAGGGTGTAACAGGGGAGTGGCGGATTGGGGACCATTCGGATACCGGAGGAGTGACGAGAGGTGTGACCAGGAGGTGACCAAGCGGCGACCGTACCCAGGTCACCATCTCGTCACTAACTCGTTCGATCGCCATCGCTAGAAACTCACCAGGTCGTCTCGGCGTCCTCACGCAAAAACGACGACGGTGCAACGGGCCCACAATACGCAGCTCCACTCGGGTTGTTCTTTCTAAAAATACTCATGTCGAATTGGTAGCACTCTTAGTATTAAAATGGCAGAGATTTTAGCAAAGCTCTGTAAAAGCGGGGTCCCGTGAGCCAGCCCAGGGCAACCATGAGCCTTTGCCAATACCAGGCAAAAGTAAAGAGCTATTCGCATTCGAATCAAAGGGAATGATAAAATATAGCACCCCTGGTTATTGAATTTTTAGGGGTGCTACTGCACTAGTGCCTTTGTAGAGGCACGATTTGTGCCCAAAATTTGACTTTTGGGGGGCAAGAGCGCTTTTCTAAAGGCACTATTTTACTAACGCCTCGAGGGGGCAATAACTCCTTTTTGAAGTGTACACATGATTCCCAAAATACTAAATTCCCAGTGATTCCGGTCCTCTTATATTTATTCCTTGGGTTTTCTAGTGGTAAAAAAAGCCTGTTTCGACTAACTTGTGCCAGTTCCACTATTTTCCCGCTTAGATTAAGCGATTACTGTTGATTTCGAATAATTTTATTAAAAAGTTTAACCGCCGCTCACACCTGTTGAATCGCTCATAGTAAGCCCAGGTTCAGTTTCGAATAACCACCCGACCAACAACTTAACAGCGGTTTCCATCAGTGGCTCATAGGACCCTATGCTTCCTTTTGAGCGCCCGTTTTAACCTCTTTTTTATTTGCAGGTTATTGGAGTTTGGTTTGCTTTGGCTCTGGCTGGTGAAATCAAAAAGCTTTCCAGATAAACAATCGACCATTAAAACTGTGTCCGAAGGGAGGGATTTATTTAAGACCAAAGATCTATCGTATGCTGATTTCAGCCCCATATCTGTTACCAACCGAAATAAAAAATGCATTTTTTTTTATTTGTGTCATATAGGCTTGATGCGGAAAGAACGTAGAAAGTGCACCAACTAGGCATACAATTTAAACATTTACTTAACAGCTAAGTGTGGATACAGAGATTACGAAACGCAAGTGTGATTTTCACGCCGGGCGTGATTTTTCACGATTCGTAAGCTTCACGCAGCCAATCAGGAACCGACTTTCATCACGCCTGGCGTGAAAATCACGCTCGCGTTTAGTGAACTCTGTATCCATCTTAATGAAATGTTTTCTTCAATACTACAATTACTACTACTACCACTACTACTACTACT